TATCTCTTTCATTGTTTAAATAATGAACATAAAAAAAAAATATTCATAATCAATTTCTCTGAACTTTGATTGATTAAAATTTCAATGTAGTTTTCGATCTGAGAAATGATAATTAAGAATTTTTTAGAAATCCTTAGAGGTCAACGAATTCCAATCGTCTACACAATCTATAGGGAATGAAAGGAATTGCACAAAGAATAAAAATCAGGTTATTTTAAAAATAATTCGATATGAATTTCAATAATACAGTGATTATTATTATGAACTTTGATCAGAATTGATTTTCATATTTTAACAAAGACTATACGAAAGGAAAAAATATATATATTATTCTAGTTATACTATCTTGAAAATATTATATTGAGTTTTTCAATCTTTATGAAATATTTTGTTTTTTATTTCTAGTAGTTACATCGACGAATCAATAGATGATGATTCAAGTGTTTCATTATCGAACAATGAATCAGATAATAAAAAAGCAAACAGTTCTATCACCAGAGATTTTGCACCAGTATTCTTCATATTGGGTATTACATTTAGTTTTATTCTTCTTATACTTGTTAATGTATTCCACAAGCAATATCAAATAAGAAAAACTAATAATAAATCTCATAAAAGACTAAACAATCATTCTATGTATTCTCTGGTATCAACCACTAACGAATTTAATTTGAATTAAATTTATAATTATTCCGATACTTTTTTTTAAAATTTATTGTCTTTATTTAAACAATAATCTTGTTTGAATTTATGAAGGTTTTAAAAGCCTATTTTGATTTTCTTTTCTACACTTGTGAATTAATAATTAAACAAAAATACATTGGACTTTTGTCTTGAAGAAATAGAATTAAAAATTTTTAGTCTATTTAATTTTTGTGTAAAAGACTAAATCATGTTGTTGTGATTATTCAGTACTGAGGGTGTGGGTGTGGGTGTAGGTGTGGGATGTGAATGTGGGTATTGGTGTGGGTGTAGACCTTCTCCTTAGTCACACCCAAAATGCAGCGCATATGTCAACGGCATTATTCATTCTCTGTTCACATTTACTTTCATGTTGCTGTTTTGATCCTTGGGCTCGTTTCATTTTCTCCAGATGAATGCTGTTGTTTTTCTATAACAGAAAAGATTGTTTCGTTTTTCGAAACAATTCATTTTTTTTTGCTTTCAATACACGCTAAAGAACGAACATCGTAAAATTTTCGTTCAAATTTATCATCTGCTTCAATGTACTATTAACACAGTGAGTTGTGCATTCTATCCCTCATGAACGTAACTGTAATATTCTGTTGAGCAGCAGTTCAACATAGGCTGACACTCAATTCTAGCAAGCAGACGACTTCCGAATGGATTAATTCCTTAGACTCAAAGGATAGGGCCTACAAACTGAATTCGCCCGTGTCTGTCTGACTGTCTGTAACACATTTACCAGATGATAACTGTGGAGACAAAAAGTCGTATGTATGACAATAATGGAATTCCATGAAACGTGTTCCTCACACAAATCCTCCTCCGGTACTTGCTCCGCAGTAACAGTTGCTTTTCGGACACTAACTTCCCGGCCAGTTTCTTGCGAGTCGTATCCAGCAGAACACTTATTGTTTTCAAGTGCACAAGGGTACCGGTGTGGGCAAATCGAAGATCTATATACAGACATAGAGCAGTCATCATATTCCGCAATGTTGAACATTGTGGAACCAGTTCCGCCCCCGAAATCAGTTCCGTCCAATTCCCGGAATCCGACCGTCTTACAATATAAAAAGCCTATTCTACGTTATCGAGTTCCATCGAATTCCAGAATCAGCAGCAATTCCTACGAATTCCGCGCAATCGTGTCTCGACTCAATTCCCGGAATTCCGTACCGCGATCAGGTAGTGATCGAGTCGAATAAACTTTAACCATATCAGAATGCGTGTGGGTGAGGGCGAGATGTAATTCCGGCGAGGAATTCCGGAATTTGGGGTGTAGGTGTGGGTGTGGGTGTCATCTGTTATCACACCCACACCCTTTAGTGATGTGAATCGTATCGCATGTGGAGTGTGGGTGCCATTGAAGATATCGTCCACACCCAAAAGAATCTTTTCATTCATGGCTTGCATGATAACTGCTTTTTCTCGAAATTAACTATTTAAAGGTTCAGGATGTGGGTATCAGTGTAGGTATGGATATGGGTGTTACTCTTCATCCAACCTCAACCCACATTTATAACTTTACCTTTAATGCTTTTATCATTCGATATTTTTTACATTTCGCCATTTTATTATTTCGGCATTAATATGTTTCGATATTTATATTTCTACATTTTTATTTTCGACATTATTTGCAGGAATCCTGCTCGAGACGCAAAATCTTTACTTATTTGTCAATTGAGTCTTGATGGATTAATAAAATAACATTCAAGTGTTAAAAGAGTATTTTTCGTCTTTAAAAATAGTTCGTTAATGCCTAAGGCAAACAGTGGAAAAGAGAAAAAATATAAATTTATTTCCTGTACTCAAGACTGCAGCCTATTTGTTGTTGGTGTCGCTGTGTACGTGGCGATGTGAGGTGTGAATGTATGGCTCAGGATTACGACACGATCAACAGCCACAACTACACTCACACCAAAACTCACTACGAATCTCTCACTCAAATCCGAATGAGACTGTCTTTAGTGTGATGTTTATTGAAATTGCTAGGGAATAGAGTATTGCTCGGGATGCAAAATCGTTACTTATTTTTCAAGTGAGTTTGAATTAATCAATAAAAAACGTATTCAAGTGTCGAAAGAGTGTTTTTCTTCTTTAAAAACACTTTGTTGAAGTTTAACATAAACAGCGGGAAATAGAAAAAAACTAATGATCTTTTCATCGTTCTCAAAACAGTAGCCTATTGCTGCTGACTCTTTATCGTCTATGAAGAACATACACTAAAAAGAAACAGTTTTGACGCGTAAGTCACGCATACTATAGTCTGTTTTATTTCAGATTGGGTTCTAACAAACAGAAGGTGATTCGAATTCAATCTCGAGCAAGAAAGCTTTTAGCGCAGCTTCTTTAGGGCTGATATGTGGAACTCAGATATTCTATATAAGCTAGGATATCTAATCCCACCTAACACTGGTTGCCATAGTCTGTAATGAAAGTATCTATAATGATGCCTTCATTGCTATGATCTCTAATGAGAGGTGGGAGAAGCTGTCAAACCTTCGATTTAAAACTTACGCTCGCTAGTTTCTTCGAAAATATATATGAGTCTCGCAAAATTCAAGGATCCGCTGTTGTGAAGTCAAAATGTCAGATTAAAACATTGATAGATGGGTGCGGGTGTGAGCATGAGTGTGAGTGTGGGTATGGATATGAGTGTGGATGTGGGTATGGGATGCAGATGCAGATGCAGGAGTGGATTTATCTTCTCTTAAACCACATCCGCACTCACGCCCACAGCCACCCATAGTTGCTATTGTATGTGAGTGTAGCTGTGATTGTGGTTGTGGATGGATCTTTCCTTTATCGACACTCACGTCCTTGTTTATCTTAGTTCAGTTAATCTAAATCGTTTACATAAAAGTACAAGTAGCAAGATTACCTGTACCAAATGATATTGAATAATAGCATTCTTTTTTTCTTTTTCAATGTGTATTTTTAATGTGTTAAATAGCGGTAATTTTTTAAATAAACATCTTAAACAAGAAATTCCATTATTTAATAGAGTCTTATAGCGCGGGAAGTTTTTCGCAAAAGTTTTGTCGTTTCTGATAATTTTTTATTTTAACGGCAGATTCTGCACCACTGGGAGAACCACTGTAGTTACATAAATAATTTAGTCTTGAACTTATTCTTTTTTGAAAAAACTTCAGTTTAGAAAAAACTCCAATAAGCCAAAAACAAGATTCGAAAATTCAAAAGTGATCGGATAAAAGTTCAAATTTTAAAAATCGAACTTTTTCGTGTCATATCGAAAGATTCGGCAACCCTGATTTACGTGCAGAACAAAGTATGACCATTATTTCTTCTATAGTCAATGGAATTAATATTATTGATTTATTATTTACAATAATTCTATACGAACTCATATACTAAAACAGATCTATTCAATATATCGAATATTCATCATCACGAATGAATGATTCCATCATTATTCGGGTATATTATATTATCCCTTCTTTGAAATTTCAATCAATCTATTTTGCAATAAGTCTTTCAAAAAACAAAAAATCATTAGCAATTTCATGTTTTTAAATTAAGGAGGTACGTTATCCCTTCATTTTCTTCTATTTATAATAAAAAATTTATTAAGGGAATTTAAATTTTTCTTTGTTGTACGTATATATTTCATAACATATTAAAAATATTAATGAATTATGGACAAAATTTTTATCCCTTACATTTTAATTTGTTTTGTCTTTCCTTCGTATTATCTACTAGGGAGGGCACGACATATGAACTGTCCTCACACATTGCAATTCAACAACAGAACGAAACGACATTAATATGTGTAAACACAGATAAGATATCGTATGCTCGATTTTTTTTGACTAGCGACAACCATCCGTTTAAAGTACGCCGCGTTACATTCCGTAGCGTTGTATTAATGAGCGTGTACCGCTATTTACATTTGCTTCAACCTTCTTGTTCTTCGTAATAGAAGAAGAAGAATTTCCAACACATAACAAGCTCGTGGATGGCTTAAACAACTTACCCGTGCCAGTAGTGTCCGACGTTTTGTTGGTACATGCACAGGCGTTCAGATAGAGACCATCTAACATATATTTATGTATGTATGACTGAATCATCTGTTCTCTTCGTCGTCTCTTTGTTGAGATCATGACGATCATGGACGTACTAGTCATGTGTACATAGATGTATGTTTGTCTATCATTGCCGGGTTTGTCCACTATACAACGCAACAAAATACGGAGGGTATCTCTGGTAGCATGTGCGGGAAATTTTGCAGCTGCTACGCTTCGGTGACCCAAGTGTTTAAGGAGGCTAATTTATTTGCTCATTTAAAAAACAAACAATTACATTTTCTTTTCTACATCTTCAATTTTAGTTTTCAACTTTGTAATATGTGGATGATTTGGAGGCAGTGATTTTTGTCGTATCTCAAGCGCTTTTTGCAGAAATAAAAGTGCTTTGGAGTACTCGCCCATGTTAGAATACACCGAACCGATGTTGTCGTACAAAGCAGCCAATGAGGGATGAGTCGGAGAGAGAGCTATTCTCCGGATTTCTAGTGATCGTTCGTAAAATGAAACTGCTATTGAGTACTCGCCCATGTGAGAATACACCAAACCGATGTTAGCATAGGAAGAAGCCAAGTCGGGTTGATTAGGATGGAGAGCTGTTTTTTGAATTTCAAGTGCTCGTTGGTACGATGACAGCGCTTTCATGTGCTCGCCCATATGATCATACATCGAACCGATGTTGCTGTAGGAATGAGCTATGCTGGGATGGTTCGAAGCGAGCGTAATTTTCCTTATTTCAAGTGATTGTTCGTACGATGAAAGTGCTTCCGGGTACTTGCGCATGGCAGAATACATTGAACCAATGCCGTCGTAGGAAGAAGCTAAGTCCGACTGATTTGTAGGGAGAGCCTTTTTTCTGATTTCAAGTGATCGTTGATAAAATGAATCTGCTATTGAGTGCTCGTCCATGTGAGAATATACCAAACCGATGTTGGCATAAGAAGAAGCCAAGTCGGGATGATTAGGATGGGGAGCTATTTTCTGAATTTCAAGTGCTTGTTGGTGCGATGACAGCGCTTTCATGTGCTCGCCCATATGATCATACACCGAACCGATGTTGCTGTAGGAACTAGCTATGCTGGGATGGTTTGAAGTGAGAGTTATTTTTCTGATTTCAAGTGATCGTTCGTACGATGAAAGTGCTTCCGGATACTCGCCCATGGCAGAATACGTCGAAGCAATGTTGTCGTAGGAAGAAGCTAAGTCCAAATGATTCGGAGTAAGAGCTATTTTCCGAATTTCAAGTGCTCGGTCGTGTAATGAAAGCGCTTTCGAATATTCGCCCATGTTAGAATACACCAAACCCATATTCAGGTAGGAAGTAGCTATATCAGGATGGGTCGGAGGAAGAGCTTTTTTCTGGATTTCTAGTGTTCGTTCGTACGTTGAAAGTGCTTTTGAATAGTCGCCTATATTTTGATACACATTACCGATGTTGTTGTAGAGAGTAGCCAAGCCGGGATGGTTTGGAGGAAGAGCTATTTTTTGGATTTCAAGTGCTCGTTCGTACGATGAAAGTGCTTCCGAGTACTCGCGCGTAGTAGAGTACACCGTACCGATGTTGTTGTAAGATTGAGCGATGTCGGGGTGATTCGGAGGCAGAGCAATTCTTCTGATTACAAGTGATCTTTCATGAAATGTAAGTGCTTTCGAGTATTCGGCCATGTGGTAATAGACATTGCCGATGTTGTTGTAGGAATAAGCCAAGTCGGGATGATTCGGAGGGAGAGCTATTTTTTGAATTTCAAGTGCTCGTTCGTGTGACGATAGTGCCTTCGAGCATTCGCTGATGTTTTTATACATGTTACCGATGTTGCTGTAGGAGGCAGCCAAGTCAGGATGATTCGGAGGAAGAGCTATTTTTTGAATTTCAAGCGATCTTTCGTACGATGAATGTGCTTTCGAGTAGTCACCCATGTTATTATACACTCCACCGATGTTGTTATAGGAAGTAGCCAAATCGGGATGATTCGGAGGCAGAGCTTTTTCGTCGATTTTATGTGATTTTTCGTAAAATTCAAGTGCTTTTGAGTAGTCGGCCATATTATCATACACCATACCGATGTTGTTATAAGAACCAGCCAAGTGAGGATGATTCGGAGGGAGAGCTTTTTTTTGGATTTCAAGTGATCTTTCGTACGATGAAAGTGCTTTCGAATATTCACCCATGTGAGAATACACCATAGCGATGTTGTTGTAGGAACTGGCCAAGTCGGGATGATACGGAGGAAGAGCCATTTTTCGAATTTCAAGTGATCTTTCGTACGATGAAAGTGCTTTCGAGTACTCACCCATGCTATCATACACCATAGCGATGTTGTTATAGGAACTAGCCAAATCGGGATGATTCGGAGGAAGGGCCATTTTTCGGATTTCAAGTGATCTTTCGTAGTATGAAAGTGCTTTCGAGTACTCGCCCATGTCATCATACACCATAGCGATGTTGTTGTAGGAAGTAGCCAAGTTGGGATGATTCGGAGGGAGGGCTATTTTTCGGATTTCAAGTGATCTTTCGTAGTATGAAAGTGCTCTCGAGTAGTCGCCCATGTGAGAATACACTGAAGCGATGTTATTATAGGAAGTAGCAAAATCGGGATGATTCGGAGGGAGAGCTATTTTTCGGATTTCAAGTGATCTTTCGTAGTATGAAAGTGCTTTCAAGTACTCGCCCATGTTATCATACACCATAGCGACGTTGTTGTAGGATTGAGCAAAGTCGGGATGATTCGGAGGGAGAGCTATTTTTCGGATTTCAAGTGATCTTTCGTACGATGAAAGTGCTTTTGGGTAGTCGCCTCGTTGGTTTTCGATTGTTCCTTGGCTATTCAGGACATTCGCTCGCTCTATGTTCGTGGCAGATGTGGTTGGTAGATGATCACAAATTTCCTGGGCTGTTTGGTAGTGGTGTAGGGTGAGCATCAAGTGAACCATAGGATTCCAGCCATTCCCGTTGATTTCCTGCCGTATACAGTGTGTGAGAATAGATAGTTGTGGATCATCATCGTTGGTGTGAATGAGTTGTACTTCGTACAGGTTGGAATTGTTGAGGACCTGTTGGATTTCGTTGACACGAAAAATCGTGTGCATAGAAAAGAGAATTTCCTCTTCATCGTGGAATGGACTCATCCCTTGAATGTTGGCGAAAGGAGTTGAAGAAACTGACGATCTAACAGTCATTATGAAGAGAATTCCGACGAAGTCAGCTACTGATGTGTTACTTTCGGCGAATGCTAGAGAAACGTCTTGATTTCGGCTGGTGGATAAAAAGTTGTTAAATGAGAGGAGACCACCCTTGGTTTTTTCCAGTGTGTCGAAATCAGCTTTGGACAATCCTTGGCCGCGGTATACAACAAAGTCAGCATTCCCTGGTTTTTTAAACTGTTCTTTGTGTAATTGGTCGAGTTGGTAGTGAAGATCTCGAATGAAAAAAGTCATTTTCTTCATTGTTAGAGTATCCAATGTTCGAAGTGACCGATTAAGCGTCTGGTAGATGAAAGAGTCACGAATATACCAGAAAATTGACGTCTCAGGACTGTAATTCTTCTCGAATTCGTTGATAGTATCCAACGTTGTCTTATTGTTGTTAGACTTTTCCCGCCAAAATTGAATGAAATCTGTGATTTCTTCTTGTGTGTGGTTGACTTCAAGTGCAATTTCTTTAAATAGCCGTGTGTACATAAATGAGGGCCCTATTTGATTTAGATTGGTTTTCAAACTATATTCGCCGATACTGACAAAGCTCATAGCGATATCGTTTTTGTAACATCGTTTGATGGCATCTAGTAGTGCTTCACAGAGACGGTTGATATCTGTGTACACATCTTTAATTTTGCCGGAATTCTTTTTCCAATCGTGGATTAGAGATTCTCTGCTGCAGAAGATATAAACATCCAGAAGATGAGGAATATTAACTACGATAGGTATCATGTCTTGATCTTTAGGATTTGACAGAATGAGAAATGCCTTTTGGTCATTGAGGTCAGTGAGAAAATCTATACCTTCATCGGGTCCGTTGAAAATATATACTTCGTTGGCCAAGTTTTGCAGTTGTGTAAGTGTATTTTTACATTTTTCATTGTTTGGGTGAATGTTTTCGTCGATCCAGATAATCACATAGCTTCCAGTCATGCATTGCGTTGGTTCCATAACACTCGATAATGTCGTCGTATTTGTTGTGGTATCCGTTATGGATGTAGAAAGTATTTCATTCGGTTTTTGTCCATTCATTTTGAATTCATTTGCCACTTTATAACCAACCAAGAATGGAGAGAAGTTGTTTGAAAATCAGTCAGAATTTTGTTTTTCTATTAATCTGACAAGGGTCGTTTTACTTGGCTTTTTTACGACGACAAAGACGCTTTTGTTTGTCGATGTTTAGTAACGAATTTCGATAGTCGTAAAAGAAAATTGTGTTGTAAAGAAAAAAATAATAAAGATATTCAGTGTCGTAGTGCGTTGTACCGCTGCTCTTCGACGATTTAAAAACAACCATTTTTCTCCTTGGTAAGAACGAAAAAACAACAGTCTCATGCGTGCTTTTATTTTTTTCATCTTTCTAAAGATATTACGATAGTTTGAACCAAAAACATCGCAAATAAAGTCAATCTTATTTTAGGTCACAATTGAAAACTTAATTTTCTGTTTACCCAATATGCCACACATCATTAAGCAACGGCTTATGTAGTCAAGTAGCAATGTTCTTCCTGCTCAAGTGAATAGTTCTCGATTTAAAGAGGGAAGAGAAGGAATGGATAAGAAAGACTAACCGTCTTTGGTATTTTGCATGTACTCCCTGGTAATGCAAGTAGGGCAGGAAGTGGTCTGTGTCTATGGAATTTAGGCCAACTTCATGTGTCTCAACATGCAAAACAAATGCCATCTCCGCTTGTAGGCGAGATCTCACCTTTTGGCAGTATTGAGAGACAATTTTATAATGTACTGATAAGTTTTTTGATAATTCTGAAGAAAGCAATTATTCATTCTTTCCAATCACTGGATAGAAGTGCAATTGAGCCGTGACGGAAACGAGGGTACTACCATTTTCACAATGGCTCCCACGGATGCACCCAATGGTAAATACCGTGCCCATCGTGGAATTTTTATGCGGGTGTGTGTGTGGGTGTGGGGGTGATTAAAGTGATCCGTACACCCACACGCACACACCCACACCCCCACCCCCACATCCACACCCACACCACCCACACCCTCGAGGCCAAAAGTCATTGTCTTCAAAATCAACTGCAAATTTTTCAAGCTGTGCGATAGGCTGATCATATTCTTTTTGACCCTGAGGTTTTGGCCAATCAGATTGTTTCATGGTCTATCTCCAGCCAATGAGGTTCTTACTACCTAGAATTTCAGCCAAGCAGGTTTTTTTATACCGGGATGATAACCAATCATATTTGTCCCTTGGGATTTGGTGTAGCATGTGCCTCTGAATAAACGTTATTTGTGAAAAATAATCACAATTTCATAACAGCGTTTCATGAACGTCGACACGACGCGTTCCGTTTATAGAGATTTGCACATTAGCTGCAATATTTTAACTCTGTAACAGAGTGCACTTCTATTGCAAAACTGATCATATTTTTGTAATAGACCAAACGGTAGTGAGCTTGATTGCGAATACCGTAGGATGATATATTGTTGAAGTACACTTGAATATAGGAGCGACTATTCGTGAGTTTTGCACTGGAGGGACGTCAACGAACGACTAGATGATGATTCTTCTGATTAATTGCAGAGATGGTTCCGAAGAGATCTGTATGAAATCTACTATGTCTTCGGGTAAATTCTTATTAGATTTATGAATAAAGTATTTGTGTCTAACACAATTGTTATAGAAAGATCGTGAAAATAAAGCTGTGCAGTATAGTTCATAATAATATCCAGTCTTTTCTATTGGGATTTCTTCTGATATGACTGTGTTTTTGGAATTAGCTAAACGTGAACCAGTGTTCTTGTCTGCTCGCACAAATTATAACTTTTTTAAGGAAGGAATAGCTACATCTATTGGTAGCAATGCGCTGTCGATCGCTGACAATAGGTATGCACCAGTGTCAGTTTCTCAAGTACCCAGTGGCACTGGCTTCCAGTTCGACTGGAAAACTATTGTCACTGAATTTCCGCGTGGCAACACGTACTCAGCGACCCAAAGTATCCAGTGCCCCTGATGTCCAGTTAACTGTCTTTGGAGCATGCCTAATCGCTGAGTTTCTGATAATGTCATGTTCGTATATTTAGGAGATATGGAAAACGCTGAAAGCAAGGCATTTTTATCACGTTCCCGAATTCTTGTAGGAGAACGAATTGCTATCTCTTGTATTGCTCGTTTGCCACCTATCTGTTCTTGTTATTAAAAGAGGAGAATATGCTAAGGAAGAACATGGAAACATAACAGCGACTAGCTGCTGTTCCGAACAGCTTTCATTGGTTTCTTTGATGTCTCTAAAGGATTTGTTGAGCAAGAATACGAAGCAACATGTCAGTCTATACTCGCTGCATATAAGAAACTGGACGGTCGAGAATTGCGGCTCTTAGAAACGCTGACTCCGAGCTGTACTTTGCGATTCACCTAAGGAAGCCTTAACAGAAAATTTAAAAACTTGGTCTTCTTATAGGTTAAATTAACTGGTAATCTATGTATAAGGAGGAGATGTGTGTTCAGCATAGTTCTCAACATAGAATCTAATGAACACAGACGACAACTACTTTTTTTGGAGTGCATGTTAAAAAGTAGATGTAAGTTGATTGTGCAATAATAAATTAAAAAAATCGTTTGTAGTAAAGATCGACTCATTTTCGAATGAATTCTCAGTCAAATTACTTTTAGCGTTGTCATTAGTGTGATACATATGAGGATGAAAATTCGGCGGTGATTCTTTTTATAATCGTTTTCCAATAATTATGCCTTTTTGATTTTGTTTAGAAAAGCAATTAGAATTTGCTCCATCGGGCACTTACCCACAACTTAGTTGCAACGGTCGACATTGTTCTGAATGTGGACATTGTCGTGATTGGTACTACAATGGTGACCCCAATACTTTCGAAATAGTGCGACGAAATAGATTTAAAGATGAAACGTATTGGGCTCAGGGCAAACAAAAATATTTCCGCAAACGGAAAGGTGCAACCTGTACTATTCCTATTTTTACTCATCATACGCCTCCTGATCCTTCTTCTGTTGATAGTTCGACTCGTCCTTTTCGTACATCTGCTTCTCATGTCACTGCTGATGTTATTGCTGCCCCGTTTACTATTGGTGCTCGCTTATTTACTGGTCCTGTTGTTGCTCCTATTGGTACTCGCTTATTTATTGCCCCTGTTGTTGCTACTATTGCTGAAGACGCTTATGGTCTTGATAGTGTTAATTCTTCTCGTGATCGTCATATGTTTTGTCTCTGTGATGATAATGACCAAGAGTGGTCGATAAGATATCGATGAAATTTTTCACATGTGACAGTTTTTATAGCTTTAAACGTTTCTCTTTACAATGGATGTGTTCGACTTTTGGAAAAAACTGAAACTAGTTTTCCTAAACATCGGTCCTAATGAAAACTTATTGAAATAAATCACTAGAAATTTGTATGTACATGTGATCTCCCTGATATTGCATGGAATCAGGAGGGTGTGGGTGGGTGTGGGTGTGGGGTGTGGGTGTGAGTGTGCGTGTGGGTGTGAGTAAAGAG